AGGTTTGTCCACCGCCGACAGGAGGAATATCCAAAATTGTCAAAGAATACTCTGGGGACAATTCTTAAATGTTTGTGTTTACTATTTGGGGGTATTTTTAGATGTGTCGCCGAACATCCGCCTGTAGAGGGACATGCCCGCAGGAACCCTCGCCAGGATCAGGCGAGGCGCCCCGAAAATTGCCCTGCCCTCGAGGATCGAAGGAGTCCTCATCTCTTCCGCCGCGGAAGGCGGCGGAAGTAAATCAAACAAGTAAAAACGCCATAAACATAAACTTTTGGCGCTGCGCGCAGATTTCTTGGATCCGCGCTAGGCTCCCCCCGGCGGCGCCTCCAGCGCCGCCAATGGCGCGCTCCGCGCGCCAGGGAGAGGGGTCCAGCGCAGATCCACGATATCCGCGCGGAGCGCCAAAAGCTTATGTTTATGGCGTTTTTTCTTCCGCCGAGTAAAACGAGGCCACCTCCGCCGGCGGAAGGCGGCGGAAGGGCGGCGGAAGTAAAGCGTGCGCCCCCAAGGGATGAAAGCGTTTTGGGCCCGGGGTTTTCGAAATCGCCCAGGTGAGGAAGAGGTCGTTCTCGCCCGTCTGGGCTTCCTGGGGGGCCCTCCTCGCCACGATCGGAGTCGCTGGAGAGTGTTGGTCAGAGCGCCGACCGGGAGAGGTCCACGGGTGTAGCGGTATCGGTATTTACTTGTTTCCCAACGGCGTCTCGCCAAGACCTCGAGATCTCAAAATACGCCGGACCAAAACGTCTACCCTCCTGCCCCCAAACTCAAGGCTGGCAGGTTTGGGCGGCAGCCCACAGGCCCGGGGCAACATGTGGACACTTCAACTCCTGGGTTTGGGGCAGAGGGGTGCGAAGCAGGGGCATCTCGCAGTTTCGGTTGGTGGGCGTTTCGTTTATTCATTATTGAATCGCTTCGCTCATTCCGCCGGCCCATTTCGCATGACTGAGCCTCTTGGGGCCGCTGGGGGCCTCTTCAGCGTCGCTTGGGGGCCTCCTGAGGGCCTCTTGGGGGCTTTTGGGGCCTCTCAGGGGCCTCATGAGGCCTCCGGGGGGCTTCTTAAGGCCGAGGGCTCGAAGTTTTGTTTTGTGTTCCCCCTTTGGGGCATCGCTCGGGGCCCTCTTGGGCCCCTCTTGGGCCGTCTTGGATGCCTCTGAGGCCGTCTTGGAGCCCTCTTGGGCCATCTTGGGGCCTTCTTGGGAGCTTCTTGGGCCCTCTTAGGGCGATCTTGGGGGCCTCTTGGGCCGTCTTGGGGCGTCGGGAAGCCGAAAAGATGGACACGCCAAAATCTGCCCAAAACCTAAGGAAAAGTAATGAATTTTGCCTCTTGGGGCCCTCTGGGGAGTGCTCTTGGAGGCCTCTTGAGGCGTCTGGGGGCCATCTTGGGCGTCTTGGAACGATCGTGTGGCATCTCGGAGCACTCTTGGACCATCTTGGAGGGCTCTTGACGGCCTCGTGGCCCTTCTTGGGGCTCTCTGGAGGGCCACGGGGGCGGCGCCCAGGAGGAAAACCATCTCTGACCCGAGTCTGCCGGGGATCGCCCGGGGTACTTTTCGTTCGGGGACCCCCAGGGGCCGCCCCGCGCGCACGAAGTAGAAGTATTATTTAGCAGTTACTGGAGATCTTAGCACGCCTCTGGCCCGTTGGGCCGGCGAATTTTGCGGATCGGCGCGGGCCCTCGCAGCCCCCCCCCCATGGCGTAGATCTTGACTGTCTGGGGCGCCTGTTTCGAGCCGGTGGAGTCTCCCCCACAGGACGCACGGTTCCAAACAGTCGCACTGAGCAGAGGTCTGGAGCCAGACCCCCCCTCTCCCCCCCCCCCTTCCGCCCAATGTCGAAACGCCGAATAACAAAGACGCTCACGTTGTTAGCATGTTGCGTCGCCCATCTCCCCCCCCTTCCGCCAAATGTCGAAACGCCGAATAGCAAAGACGCTCACGTTGTTAGCATGTTGCATCGCCCATCTCCCCCCTCCCCTTCCGCCCAATGTCGAAACGCCGAATGACAAAGAGGCTCACGTTGTTAGCATGTTGCATCGCCCATCCTCCCCCCCCTTCCGCCCAATGTCGAAACGCCGAATAGCAAAGACGCTCACGTTGTTGGCACGTTGCGTCGCCTTACCGCCATGGGCGTGTACACTTTTTGTCCGGACACCGCAGAGGGTCGGCGCCGGCTGTGGCCCCGCTGGGCCGGGCCCGGCCTTCGGGCCCAGGGGCCTCCGAGGAGGAGGAGGGCGAGGAGAACGAGGAGAAAGCAGAGGAGGAGGAGGAGGAGGAGGAGGAGGAGGAGGAAGAGGAGGAGGAGCAGGAGGAAGAGGAGGAGGAGGAGGAGCATGAGGTGAAGGGGGAGGGAGGAGGAGGAGGAGGGGAGGAGGAGGAGGAGGAGGAGGAGGAGGAGGAGGAGTCGTGCGCAGTTGTGGCTGTCAGCATGTTGCATCGCCTTTACCGCCATGGGCGTGTACTCTTTTTCGCCCGGGCACCGTTCGAAGAGGGGCGGCGCCGGCTGTGCCCCCGCTGGGCTGGGCCTGGCCCTCGTGCCCGGGGGCATCCGAGGAGGAGGAGGGCGAGGAGAACGAGGAGAACGCAGAGGAGGAGGAGGAGGATGAGGAGGAGGAGGAGGAGGAGGAGAGGAGGAGGAGGAGGAGCAGGAGGAGGAGCGAGGAGAGCGCGGGGAGGAGGAGGAGGAGGAGGAGGTGGAGGAGGAGGAGGAGGAGCAGGAGGAGGAGGAGGAGGAGGAGGAGGAGGAGGAGGAGGAGGGGGGGGAGGAGGCGATGCGGCGCGATCCTCAGACCCCCCATCTACCTGGGGTTACTCCGACCCCATCCAGGAGTCCTCGATCGGAGGCACCCTGGACCATCGTGCGCGGCAGAAGGCGCGCGCGAAGCCGAGCAGCGCACGTGGAGAGTGGGCGTCCGAGGGATGGCAGGATGCGCTTCCCTGGCCGAGCCAGGAGGAGGAGTACCCGGATCCCGGGCCCGGGGAGGGGCCCTGCCGCGGCCAGCGCAGGCGCATCAGAGCAGACACCAGCCACAGGTCGGGCATGTCCCCCTACGGGCGGAGTCCAGACGCAAATCAAATCATTTGCAAAACATACTCGAACATAGCCAAAGCATGATCCAAGGATCGTCCTCTGAGTATTTGTCTTATTGTTTGGAATATTTCTCCTAGGGATGGGCCCGACTTAACACCAGCCTGCCAGCAGGTGCCCCAGGGAAAGGCCTTGCCCCCCAGGGGGCCCCGCAGGGACCCACGGAGGCGCCGGGCTACGCCAGGGCCCGCCAGAGATCGAAGACGAGAGCGCCCTGGGCTTTCTCTTCTCGCCAGGTGCCTCATCGCATGCCTCCTCCTCCTCCTCCTCCTCCTCCTCCTCTTCCTCCTCCTCCTCCTTTTCCGCCCCTTTTTCCCCTCCGCATCCTCCTTTTTCCGCATCCTCCTTTTTCCGCCTCCGCCTCCTCCCTCCTCCGTCCTCCTCCTCCTCCTCCTCCCTCCTCCTCCTCCTCCTCCTCCTCCTCCTCCTCCTCCTCCTCCTTGGCATTCGAGTCCTGACCGAGCTGACCTGGATCTTCAGCTCGAGCTGCCTGAGCGCACAGTAGCCGCCCCAGGGCCAGTCGGAGTGGAAACGTGGAAGACGTTCGAGCAAGACGACCTCAAAATCCGGCTCAGCTCCGGCAAGGAACGGCACGACACGGGGCACAGGCTCACGGACGCGCAGGGGCGCAATAGGGGATGCGCCAGGGGACGTGTCAGGGGACGCATCAAGGGACGTGCCTTGGACGTTGCAGGGACCTGCCACTGGACGTGCCAAACGCGTGTCATGGGGCGACCATAGGACGTCATGCCAAAGGACGTTGCAAGGAACCCGCCACGGAACGGGCATGGGACACGCCTGGGGACCAGCATGGAAACGCGACATAGGACGAGCCAGGGAACGTGCCACGCCGAGTGAAGTGCCAGGGGACGTGCCTGGGCACGTCACGCCAGAGTTTTGCAAGGGACGCACCAGGGGCCGCGCCAGGGCGCCAGGGGACGCCCCACGGACGGGCGGGGTTGGGCTGCGATGCACTCTTTTGCGACAAGCGTTTCGCTCGAGACATCCTCAACACATCCTCATGTTAGACATCCGCCTGGGCGATCTGGACACGTGAAACCAAGCGTCTTCCCGCAGCAGCAGCAGCTCCAGGAGGGAAGGAGGAGCAGCAGCACGAGCGGGGGGTAGACACCTCGCACCCGTTGCTGGTCTAGCAAGCAGGGAGTAGTGCTTGCCGGGGAGAGGGGGGGGATCGGGATGGGGAGGGGGAGAGGGAAGGAAGAGGTCGGGGAGCGCGAAGAGTCTCCCATAGGTGGAGGGGAACCGAGGTATTGGGGGAGGGGGAGGGGAGGATGTGGATGCATGTGTTGCACCGAGAGGGAGAGAGAAAGAGAGAGCGAGAGAGAACGTGAGAAAGGAAGACAGAGAAAGGGAGGCAGAGAGAGAGCGAGAGAGTGAGGGAGAAGTAGATAACGATACAGACACACGTATTATATCTACACATTGGTGTATGTAGAGAGAGGGAGAGAGAGAGAGAGAGAGAGAGACAGAGGGTCAGAAGGAGAAGGAGAGAGAGAGAGAGAGAAACAAAAAACAAGAGAACAAGAGAGAGAGCCTGACAGGGATGAGTAGGATGAAAAGGATCTGCGAAGGGGGGATCTGAGAGCGAGGGGGGAGAGAGACCGAGACAGACAGAGATAGAGAGAGTGAAAGAGAGTGGGAGAGAGACGGAGAGAGCAACAGAGAGAGAGAGAGAGAGACACAACAAAACCAGGACCAAAGAGCGAGACAGAGCGATACTGATATACAGAGCGATAGGGGGGCACCGGGATATGTATACAGAGGTGACACATGTAGAGCCAGAGAGGGAGAGAGAGACAGAGAGAGAGAGAGAGAGTGAGAGAGAGAAGCACAAACGAGGGCGAGCGCGAATGAGAGAGAACGAGAGAGAGAGAGAGAGCTATACTAACAAACAGGGGGAACACAGAGAGGTATGACATTTCGTGTGTAGGATGCATACACGTGGCACCTCCGTGCCCACGCTCCCGGAAAACGAGATCTGGGGACACCAATGGGGTTGCCACAGCTTGCGATTACCCGACCTGTTGACCAGCACCCCGATGAGCAGGGAACAGCCATACATTTACAACAACAATGGTCAACTCAAGTGGGGAACCACTGCAAACTCCATGCTCGTATTTGAAGGTGCCCTTGAATGTGTCACAATAACACATTGACTCCACGGAATGATTGTGAGAACCTTTGACAACACATGCTATTGTCTCACTACGTTGTGACCGTTCGAGCACCGCCCAGATTGCCATCACATGTGGCACCTTTCGCTTCCACTTCTCGAGGAGCTCTCTTTGTTTCTTTGGTTGCAGTGTTGGGGCTGTCTTTGCTCCTGTGGGGCAGTCCTTGGGTTCTCTTGGAGAAGTGGGCGCACATCCCTCATATGTGGCACTTCGGCCATTCGCGACTTCGCCTTTCGGCGAAGTGCGGGGATGAGGATTCTGACGTGGTCCCCAAAGGTCCCAATTCTCACCACGCTGGGGGCGTGTTGGCCAGTTCTCGGGGTGGGGTCCGTGATGGGGTCGAAGCTGGGGGTCACGCGCCGAACGCTGCCGCCTCGAGCCTAGCCGTGGCCACGAGGGCACCCGAGACGCCGCAGAAGCCCACAAGAATGCTTCAGCCATCGGACGCGGCGCACAGGCAGAAGCAGGTGGAGCAAAAGGGGAGGTTTGGGGGTCGAGGGGTTCTGACTTTTTCTGGTCCTCCTGTCGGCCTCCAAAGGCTTCATAGGCCTTCGAAAAAGAGGGACTGAGATGATGAGGAGGTCGAGGAGGAGTAGGAGGGTCAGGAGGAGGAAGAGGAGAAGGGGGAAGTCCAGCGGAAACCCAGGGTGCGCAAACGATGTTGCAGCACACGCTCCCTCCCCAAAGCCCTTCCTCCTGAGTCCCCGACGCAGTCCTTCTTTCCACCACATGAAGCACGTCTTTCAAACGAGAGCCCACATGCGGTTGCAATGCAGGCGAGAGCCTTGCTTTGAAAGCGATCCATCCTTCTTACTTCGTGTGTACTCAATGGGACGAGGAGGGGCCATAAAGTGCGAGGGCGGGTCCCGGGAGCGTCCAGTTTTTTTGAAGGAGCCGTGCTCCCTCCGTGGTGCTCGCTGTCGCGCACTTCTAGGGCTCTGCTCATGGAACACGAGAGGGCGTCCGGCGAGAGCCCCGACAGGAAGCGGAAGGCACCCCGCTGTGCTGAGAATGGGCCCCGGGACGGCCCCGAGACGGCCCCGCGAGACACCTACGACGGTGCGGTGCCCCCCGCGACATGCTTGCAAGAGGTTCTCCAGGAGCCCTCCGACGAGAACCCCGTCAGGAAGTGGAATGCACCCCGCTGTGCTGAGAATGGGCTTAGGACGGCCCGGGGCCGGCCCCGAGACGGCCCCGCTTGAGGCACCCACGACGGTGCGGTGCCCCCCGCGACATGCTCGCAAGAGGTTCTATATAGGAGCCCTCCGACGCGCCCCTCCGTGGCCGGCTCGGACGGCCCGCCCCCCCGCCCGCAGAGCCCGGAGATCCCCCGGCAGGATGCCCTGGAAGCCAATCTTGGGGCGGCTCGGGGTTGCGCTTGCGTCGGGCCTGTCCCTCTACAGGAGGAGTATTCAAGAATAGTCAACAACATGGGATGGAAACGATTTTGCGTTTACCTATTTAGACCATGCTTACAGCATGTTCTAAGATATGCGTAGTTTTTCGTCCAAGTGCCGCCTGTAGGGGGACAGGCCCGACCTAAGACTGCCCCGGGGCCCCCTGTATCCGCGCATCCGCGTCTCATATGCCCTCTTCGACGGTCTTCGATCTACATGTCAGGAGTCCTCGGGACCCCGCCGCCCTCAACCGAGGAGCCCGATCGGTTTCTGACCGAGCTGGGTCAGGTGGGGGCTCTCTTCGGGCTCTCTCGTGGCCGTCTTCGAGCCGTCGTCGAGTAGGTTTGCAGCCTCGGAAGCCCGCGCTCGCAGCCAGTCCCTCCCGCGACGGCGCCCCTGGAGCCTGGAGCGACCCCCCAGGAGGGCCCCCACCGCACCGTGGGGGAAAGGGCTGACCACGGCAGTCACCGGGCGCGTTCGCTACTCGCAAAGTTTCTCTCTCGCAAACGTCAGGAGAGGCATGTCTTCCTAGATGTAGTGGGTCGTAAGTCCCCCGCGGCGGATCCAGGCCATTTGAGAGCAGTTGCTTTGCGAGTAGTGGGAACGCGCTCGTCTAAATAGGGGCCCTCCCCCCTGGCATCCAGGGCTTCGTCCAGTGCCTGCGGACGAGGTCGTCGGAGTCGAGTGGAACCCGAGCGCGTAGCGCGCGTAGATGTATACGCCCACATACACACAATCGCACACATACAGAGACACACACATGTGCATGTACGTGTGTGTATTCGTGGGCGTGTGTGTGTGTGCGTTGGCAGGGAGAGAGAGAAGGAGAGAGATATACCAAGAGAAAGAGAAAGAGAGAGAGATATATATATAGAGAGAGAGAGAGAGAGACAGAGGAAGGACGGGGTAACTGGAGGACGTCAGGAGGAATGTGAGGAGCGAGTGTGCTTGGGGGGAGCGTTTGGACCTCGGAATGGTTTCCGTGTGTGCAGGCTAGCGCGCGGACGAGCACGATTCTGTGCACGGGCAGCACCGGCAGGAGAGCACACACACGGCCGTGTGGGCTAGCAGAGATGTCGAGGACAACGGGGAGCACGTGGCACACGTTGGCGAGGCAATCGGACGTGGATGTGCGCACGCACGTGAGCGCAGGGCGGTGCTCGGGTGCACGCGGTGTTGTGTATGTCTTGTAGAAGGGCGATGGCGGGATGCTGCCTAGTCGTCAGTCGGGCCTGTCCCTCTAGAGGAGGAATGTTCAAAAATAGTCCAGAGTAGTCTTGGGACAATTTTTCGACATATGTTTGGGCATGTTTGGGGTATTGTTTGAGTGTTTTTGTTTTTCGCCTGATATCCGCCTGTAGGGGGACATGCCCGACCTAAGCCTAGTCAGCCACGCCTCTCTCTCTCTCTCTCTCTTCAGGTCCCTTTCCTCTCTATCCGTAGAGAGGAAAAGGACATCCGGGTTCCCGGGTTCCCGGGTGCCTGGTCATTGGTTCCGGGCCGATCTCGGTGTTTTCTGGGTTCCCGGGTTCCCGGTCGATGTCCCTATCGATCCTCTCATCGATCTCATCTCACACCATCCGCTCACTGATTTGGGTTTTTCTGTGGTGCAATGTTCCTTTCTGTTCTGCTCCCTCGAGGGGGCCTATCGATCCTTTCATCGATGTCCCTATCGATCCTTTCATCGATCCCATCTGAAACCAGCCTTCCGCTCACCACTTATGGGGCTTTGCCCGTGTGCTCCGTTCTGCGCTGCTCCCTCGAGGGGGCCCGCAGGCGGGGAGCCTGCAGCTAACCGTGGACTCCTGCTCCGGGGACGACGAGGCCCCCCGCTCGCGGGCGCAGGGGGGGGGGGGCGGGCGGGCGGCTCCCGGGGCGGGGCGTTTCGGCGGCGGGCGCGGCGGGCTCCCACCGGGGGGGCTGCGGCGCGGGAGCGGCCAAGGCGAGAGGGTGGGGTTAAGTCGGGCAGGGCCCTCTGCAGGAGGACAGGCAAAAATAGTATGGGGACGCCTTTGTTTGTCGTTGTAGTAGTAGTAGTAGTAGTAGTAGTAGTAGTAGTAGTTGTTGTTGTTGTTGTTGTTGTTGTTGTTGTCGTCGTCGTCGTCGTCGTCGTCGTTGTTGTTGTTGTTGTTGTTGTTGTTGTTGTTGTTGTTGTTGTTGTTGTTGTTGTTGTTGTTGTTGTTGTTGTTGTTCTTGGTATTGGTATTGGTATTGTTATTGTTATTGTTATTGTTGGTTTGTTCTTCATAATGTCAAGCCATGTTTAACCATGTTCTGACTCTTAAACAAGTTCTTCAAGCATCTGCCTGCAGGAGGACATGCCCGACCTAAGGATTAGGTGGGGGTAGCAGTGGATGCCAAGGTGGGTTCATCGCAGACGGTCTCTGGTGATGCCCCCCCCCCTCCCCCCCCCTCCCTCTCAGCTCTCGGCGGGCAATTCAGCTCGTCCTCCCCCTCCTCGTCCCTGCCCTCCTCGCCCTCCTCGTGCTTCCCCCCTCGCCCTCCTCCTCGTGCTCTCCCTCCTGGCCCTCCCCCTCGTCTTCCCTCTCCTCGTCCTTCTCCTCGCCCTCCTCTTCGCTCCCCCTCCTCGCCCTCCTCGTCCTCCACCTCCTCGCCCTCCCCCTCGTACTCCCCTTCCTCGTCCTTCCCCTCCTCGCCCTCCTTGCTTTCCCTTCTCGCCCTCCTTCTCGTGCTCCCATCCTCGCCCTCCTCGCTCTCCCTCCTCGCCCTCCTCCTTTTGCGCCCTTCCTCGCCTTCCTCGCCATCCTTTCCCGTGAGATTCCCAAGGGATCTTTTCAGGGTTCCCAGGGATCGCCTAGCCAAGATTTCATTGTATGTAAAGTACGCTACAGGACGATTGTTATGTGGATGCTAACGTATTTGTTTACATATAACATGTGTGTGTGTGTCCATCTATGCATGCATGTTTGTTTATTTACACGTATCCCCCTGACATGTACAGCATCTACCCCGAGCCCACGCACCCTGCAAACATGTCCAGCATATTCCTTTCATCTGGACGCGTCCGCTGGCGCCAGCGATTATTTACACACTAGCGTTCGCCTGTCAGTTGTTGCTGGGTGGCTTTGGTCGCGTCGGATAAGGCCTCTGGGTCTATCTTGCACAAGAGCGGATTTGGATTTGCAGTGTGACAGAATTGAATTACTATTCGCTGCATCTTTATTCGAGTCGGCGTCGTCTTTGTCGTCGTCGTCGCGGTCGACGTCGTCGCCGTCTTTCGATGAGGTCCGCGCAAGTGACGTGCGCAACAAGATCTCGCCATAGTTGTTCTGAGTAAATTCGGTGGTTGCCCCGCGTATAAACACTTTCGCAGTTTTGTTTTCCGTGCTGGGTGTTGTTGGGTGCTTCTTTTCCCCATTGGGTGACGCTTGCTGGGCTACACCGCATGGCAGATGGATTCAGCGCTTACTTGCAAAAAGGAATGCAACGTAATCCGTTACATATCCAATCGACTACGCGCGTCGCTTTCGTCGTTGCCGTCGTCATGACCGTCGTCGTCTTCATACGCGAATCGCGCAGGTAACCGTTCGCAGTCAGATCCCGCTTCCGTTGTTGCGAGCTCGCTCAATTGTTGCCGCGCGTGTATTTATTTACGCATTTTTGCATGCTGTGCGAGATCTTGTTGGGTGGTTGCTGCTCATGGCCCGTAATCGGCCGTGGTGACTTTGCACCCGGGAGGAATTCCGAGCATTTTCGTACGTGGTACAATCCCACATGATCTTGTTTCTGGTTGTCCCATGGGAATTCTTCGGGATCTTCGGAAACTTTCGGATTTCCATGGGTTGCTGGGAGTTCGATCCTGAGGAATTCTAAGGGTCCTTACGACTCCTCAGGAATCCAAAGTAATTTTTCGGGATCTCAGAGAATGCTTGATAATCCTTAGGAAACCGTAGGAACCCTGAGGGATCCGACGACTCCCGAGGAGGCTTCGATGGGAATCCGAGGAATCCGTAAGAATCCAGAGGAATCCTTAGAAACCCTGCGAATATATTGGAACCCATCGGAATCGTAAGGGAGTCCTTGGACTCCTTCGGAACACTAGGAATTCATTGGAATCACTTCCTTGGGATTCATACGGATTCTCGGGAATCCGATCCTGAGAAACCCTACGAATCTTTAGGATTCCTATGGGATAATTCCAGATTCCTATGAACCCTTCGGAATCCGTATGAATTTTTCCGAACCCTACGAATCCATTGGGATCCGAAGCGTTCCGTGGACTCTCAGGAAACCATAGGAACCCCAGCAGCGAGAGCCTCAGAAGACGAATCATGGTCCAATCTTGGTTGTGGTCCGAGTCGGTCAATAAGCCCGCGCCATACATAATTCGTTCCAATTTTACATAACGGGGTGCGCGAAATATAGTACGGCTTGCAGAGGCTGGTTTGGGGTGTCGAACCCGGCCTGGCTGGGATTGTATCCGTTCAGATTCGGAATGAGCGGTGCGGCAGAACCGCATGGCAATTCCAATGCGTGTAAGTTCCAAGGCGAAGACGCGGGCGGATGATCCAGAGGGGTCGACTTTTGATTTCGTGCAGGAAGGAACGCTTCTGCAGGCGACGAGGCGGCGACGGGGCGGCGACGGCGAGCACGGAGCCGCCAGATCGGCTGCCGGGCCCAGGACACGCGCGGCGACGGAGCGGCGGCGGGCGGCAACGGAGCGGCGATGGCAACCGCGGAGCCGCCAGGCCGCCAGACAGGCCCAGGTCTTTCGAACACACGCGGCAAACCCTGAGTGCAAGCACTCTCTCGGGGAATCTGTATATTGGCTTGTGTATATCCATAGATATAGACATACATCTATATATAGATATAGATATAGATATGTATAGTGGTGTGTACGTATAGGACAAACCAAGGACAGAGCGAGAACGAGAGAGAGAGAGAGACACACATAGGGGAAGGGAGAGAGAGAGTGATAGCAACAGAGAGAGAGAGAGAGAGAGCGGAAACGAGAGAGAGAGAGAGACAGAGAGAGAACAAAAAAAACTATAAATAACAAGAAAGAGAAAGAGAGAAAAGAGAGAGAGAGAGAGAGAGAGAGCAGGAGAGAGAAGGGGAACCACAAAGAGAGAGAGAGAGAGAGATTGAGAGAAAGAGGGAGAGAACGCCCTGTTTGGCGACGCAGGGCGACGACCAGCCGCCCGCCAAGCGAAAGGACGCCGAGGCGGCCGCGGCCCGCCTTGTGGCATCTCCCGCCCGGTCCCGCGGGAGGGCGAGGGGGAGCAGGCTCGACGCTCGAGGTTCGATTTTGGAGCCAGTTGGGGGTCGAAGGTGGCCCAGCGCTGGTTCTGGCCAGAAGGGAGAGGGGGGGGGGACGAGATTCGAGGTGTCGGGTTCGAGCAGGTCTCTTGCCCGGCCTCCGGGGGGCTTTGTTCGGGCCCCGGGAAGGTCTCGGAGTGGAATGCTGAGCCAGAGGGGCCGCGGCAGGGGTCGGGGAACCGATTCTGGACGGATTGTGCTTATCCCTCTCACCTTGAACGATTCCTTCGGGGCCCATCCAGTTCAGACTCCCCGCGTGCCGCCTCCAAGTGCGATCGGTGAAGCGCAGGCGCGGGTTATAAGGCGCGTGGATCAGCGACGGGCCCTGCTTCCCTACAGCAGCGACGCTCTCCGCCGCCACATCAAGCGGTGCCGGCTGCATGCGTCGGGCGGGGCCTTGCCCGATGCGTGGATCACCAGCCTGGAACATATCCCTATCCCTACGCTGGGCATCTCCCCATCACGATGCCCATCTTAGGGATCCCCTGATTTTTTGAGGGCGCATCCCTGAGATTGTCCTCGCCTTTTGGCGTGCCAGTCTTAGGGATAGGGATGAGTTTGAGGCTGGTAAGTGGCGCTGGCGCTCGCGCGCCAGCTCCACGCACCCCCTGAGCCGTGTCCGCGCGTGCCCAGCTCGAGGTCGAGGCTCAGTGCTCAAGGTTCGAGGCCCCCTGGGGTTCGACCACGACCACGACGACGGATTCCAGTCGTCGTCGTCGTCGGCTTCGGCGTCGGCGTCGGCTTCGGCGTCGGCGTCGGCGTCGGCGTCGGCATCGGCTTTGGCGTCGTCGTGGTCGTGGTCGTGGTCGTCGTCGTCGTGGTCGCAGGGGGGTGGCCTCGTGGGCACTCGTGGGCGCCGGTGGCCCCGGCCAATGGGCCAGCGTGCAGCGGGCCTGTCCCTCTAGAGGGGGAATGCTAAAAAATAGTCAGAACATGGTCTGGAGATGATGTTTATCAAAAACACTTTTGAAGATTTGCGCGGTATTGTTGTGGGTATTTGCGTTTTCGCGTAAAATCCGCCTGTAGGGTGAGGTCGGGCATGTCCCCCTACAGGGGGATTTTGGAAGGAGCATTAAACATACTTCAAAAAGATTCCCAAATAGAGCAAAAATGCTCAAAAAAGATCGTCCCCAGACAATTCTTGGACTATCTTGGAATATCCCCCCCTGTAGAGGGACAGGCCCGACTTACATGTAGGGGGGCACGCCCGACCTAGCCCTGGAGCGGACCAGGGGCCGACGTTTGCCCCCCGAGCCCGGCGGGGCTCCCAGACCCCCTCGCGGCGCAAGCAGGGTACGGCAGCATGAAGTCGGGCCTCTCCCTCTACAGGAGGAATGTTCAAGAATCGTTGTTTCTTTTTTGTAAAGAAGTATGTGGTCAATTTCTTTGAATATTGTTTGATCAGTTTGGGGTATGTTTAGATATTTTAGTTATTCGCCCAATGCCTGCCTGTAGGAGGAGATACCCGGCCTAACGGCAGCAGGTTTCTTTTGGCAGCCTTCGGCCTCTGGGGTCAAGTCGGGCGTGTCCCTCGACTGGAGGAATATTGAAAAAAAGGATACAGCAATGGATAGTCTGGGGACGATGTTTCTACTATGCTTGACTCGTTTTGCACATGTTTTTGCTTATGTCTCATTTCTCGTTAAAAAGATCCGCCTGTAGGAGGACATGCCCGACCTAACCTTACCAGGGGGGCCCGCGGCCGTCCCAAGATTCGGGGGCCCCCAAACCGGGTGGTGGCCACACCGTGTGGTGAGTCGGTGGGGATTTGGGGTCACCGCACGGTTTTGGGACTCGGGTCGTTCTCCGAGGACGGGTCCCAAAACCGTGCGTTGACGGACCGTGCGGTGAGGTGTTGGGGGATTTCGAGGTCACCACGCGGTCTGTCACCGCACCGTTTCGGGACTCCAAAACGTGGGCCCGCGAGGGAACCTCTGTACTGGGCTAGGCGTCGAGGCCTCTGGGGGCCCAGGGGTCCGGGGACCCAGAGATCCGACGCTCCAACTCGGAGCTCCAAATCATCAGGGGTAACTCGGGTCAGGGCTAACTCGGGCCCGTTTCTCGGGAATCCGAGCCCGAGTTGCCCCAGGCCCGAGCTACCCTGGATGACTCGGGCGACCAGAGCCACAGATCATCAGGGGTAACTCGGGTCAGGGCTAACTCGGGTGCGTTTCTCGAAAATCCGAGCCCGAGTTACCCCGGGCCCGAGTTACCCCAGTCGACTCGGGCGCGCCAACAAAACTTGGAGCGTGCGGTTGTTGGCCCTCTTCGGCCACCGGGGGGCCCCCGCCAGGCCCCCACGGGACCGCCAAAAAGCGGCCGAGGACGAAGCACGGGCACCCGGTACAGGGGTCCAGGTCTCCGGGGCCCGCGCACCGGACCAGGAGTGGAGCGGCCGGGCGTCCTTGGTGAGGAGGCGCGCGGGAAGCAAAGCGATGTGGTGCACACTGCCATGGTTTCTCCTCCCTTCCCCCTCCCTCCTCCTCCTCCTCCCTCCCCCTCCTCCTCCTCCCCCTCCTCCTCCTCCTCCTCCTCCTCCTCCTCCTCCTCCTCCTCCTCCGCCTCCTCCGCCTCCTCCTCCTCCTCCTCCTCCTCCTCCTCCTCCTCCTCCCTCCCCCCTCCCTTTCGTCCTGCTCCTCCCTCCCCTCTTCAGCCCTGTAGCCCCCTCAATGGAGGCGAGTGAGGGCTGGAGGCGGAATACCAATGTGAAGTCGGGCCTGTCCCTCTACATGAGGAGTAGTCAAACATAGTTTTGGAAAATAGCCTGGGGACGATGTTTTGAGTATAATTCGACTATGTTTGGGTATGTTTTGGGTATGTTGAGGTTTTCGCCCAAAAATAATCCAGCAATAGTCTGGGGACGATGTTTTGAGTATTCTTTGACGGTGCTTGGGCATGGTTTGAGTACTATTTCGAGTTGTTTGCCCAAAATCCGCCTGTGGGGGGACACGCCCGACCGAATGCTGATGTTAAAATCTGCCCCGCATGGCCCCCGCTACGGGGGAGGCGGGCCGAAGAACAGTAGCTCCGAGCGGAGCTGGTGATGGGGGAAGGGATCATCATCACTGGAAGGGGGGGTGGGGAGGTGGGAGCCCTCTCTGCTCCCAGGCTCGTCGCAGGTTTGTGCAATCCCTGGGTCTTGCATCCGCGTGGTTTCGGCAGCGAGGCCGCCTGCATGTTCGGAGAAGGCCTGCAGGGCCTTTCTCCTGGAAGGCGCGAGGACTTCGGAGCTTCCCCGCCGCCTTCGGAGAAGGTCTGTCCCTTTCCTTTCTCCCTGGGCTCGCCGTCGTAGATTGCTTGCGCCGTCAATATCGCCGCCTTGCTCTTAGACTCCTCCAGTGGTGACATGCTTAGGAAAGCGCTATTCTTTCAGAATCACACACTGCGTGTAGGCTCATGTTGAGCCGCACCGTCACCGTGTTCACTCGCTAGTAGCATAGGCGATCCTGTTCTCCTGATTTGGGCTCGCTCCCGGCTCACCTGATTCTCACTTTTCATCCGCCGGCTCGCGGCAGTCGTTGTGCACGTGCGTCCTCTGCTTGTTGCACAGGGAGACGCGCGAGTGTCAAGTTCGCGGGAGCTCGAGTCTGCCGACGCTCTTGGACGGGCCCGTCCTGGGTTCTAACGGTCTGGTTTTCGCGGGAGGTTTGCAGCGGGAGCTCGAGCCGAGTTCCAGTCTGGGTCTCGCCACTTGCATGCCGCCCCGTCTGAGGCCAGCCTGAGACCCTCGATCCCGAGCCTCACGTCTCCATGGACGTATCCTTCTCCCTACTGAACCACCGCCTAGTAAGGATGAGGAACTTTCCAAGGCTGCTCTGGTATCCGATCTCCGTCGGCCCATCCTTGGCGACTTTCGCTGGCCAGCCCCGTTCGACAACGACAATGTGGCCCTCTGTAAGTCCCTTGCATCCTTACCTCGCAAACTTTTTGCGCGTGACTTTGTTCCCCCTTCAGCTTGGTTGCTTGCGCCGTCGATGCTTCCGCGCAGTTGCCCGTCGCAGGTCGGCTCGCCCTGGGATCCCGGTCTGCCTAGCGATATCTTGATTCGTTCAGCGCCTTAGGCCGAGCCGTGTTGCTTTGGGCGGTCGCTCCTTCTCTTCTACCTCCTCTCCCTATTCTTCTTCCTTCTCGGAACAAATTCTGTTGATGCATCCTCCTCCCTCGGGAGGGGAAGGAAAGGAGTATCAATGTCAGGCTATCGTCGGGTGCCCGTCAGCGTGTTTGTCCACTGTTGGTGTTCGGATGCGTGGCTGATCCTTCGGCAGCTGCGTGCCGATAGGTGCCCCACGGCGGCGTGACGTTGGCATTGTTCTCGTTCCCCCAGGATCATCCAGTCAGGAAAGAAGCACACAGACACAAGTAATCGTCGATCCCCCAGAAAATATGGGAAATCATGGGAAGTGGGGGGGAGGACAGAAACCTACAAAATATGGGAAAATATGGGGAATCCTTTTATGTTTGTATTTACTTGTGTGTCCCAATTCCCCTTCGATCATGCCCCCCCCCCCCCTCTTCCAGACCTCCGACGTCATGACTTGTTCGCAACGTCGACCCCCAGAGGTCTTGACTCCTTCCCTGGCCCAGCTTTCATCCCGAGTCGTTTTGTTGGTGGTCCCGAGGCCCGGCGAGGGCCCCCACAGGTCGAACATGCAGCAAACATCCGCCGTCCTGATTTTTGTGACGACTCGAGGGGGATGAGCAGGAGGAGGATGACGAGGAGGACGAGGAGGACGAGGAGGGCGAGGAGGAGCGACGATGCAGGAGGGGGAGGAGGAGGATGAGGAGGAGAAGGAGGAGGAGGACGACGAGGAAAACCGAGGACGAGGACGACGAGGAGGAGGACGAGGAGGACGAGGGCGGGGACGACGACGGGGAGGACGAGGCGGGCGCGGAGGGCGCGGACGG